CACGGCCGAACTTGCAGCGCCTCACGGAACGACCGAGTGCTAAGCAAAGCGCCCACATGAAGATTGCACCCGCACTGCCACGACCTGCCAGGAAGGGGGTGGTAGATAGGTGCTCGACCCGCCCTCGCCCGGCGCAAACAGCTCCGTATTGGACGGCAGGAACACAAGGTCAACCGCCAACTCCATCAACTGTTGCCACCAAGGTTGGGCCGTCCAGTACGGCACGACCAGGGTGAGGCACCCTCCCTCCTCGCGCACTTTCTGCACCACAGCGAGCAAGAAGTCGGGGTCCAAGGGTGGGCAGCCATATGCATTGAGCCCAGCCCACGATTGCAAAAGAGCATTGACCCCCGATGAACCCGGACAATGGTGGCGAGAAAAGAAAACCGGGAGGTGCGTGTTAATATGCGTGGCAAACAAGTCGACATGGTGCGGACCGAAGCGGTGCTCCAAAAGGCGGAAAAACCGGGGATGCAAGCGGTAATCATCACGGTCTACCCAACGCGAGGCTTCATCTGCCTCGTTGTCAGCACTAGCCACACGCTCGACTTGCAGAACAATACTATGTTTCAGCATGAATTCCCATAATAATTTTAGTTCGGCATGCAGAGCTGCCGAGCGCGAGGAAAGACGCCCTAGCACTGCTTGCGCGCACATGTTGTCCTCCCTAATTAACACAACACGCTGCTGAACGAACGGGAGGAAGGACTCTAAAGCATGACGGACAGCGCGCAACTCCTTCCAATTGATGTGCTCGTAGAGCTCTGGTGCCGACCAATAACCGCGCGCCACACGACCATGCAGGACCGCGCCCCACGAATGGCATGATGCATCCACTGAAAGCTCAACTGCAGCAGGCCCCTGGTGAATAGCCGCCGAGCAGTGGTGGGTAGGGATGTCCGCCCACCAATCTAAGTCACGTAACGACCCACGGGACAAGCGAACTCGACCGGACCAGCCAACAGGTTGCTTAATGTCGTCGTAAAAATTGCGGAGAAATAAAGGCGCTGGGGTAAGGGCCAATTTGACACTCTGCGCAAAACCACAAAACTTAGCCAGCTCACGCTTCTGGACAAGACGCCGATTTTTCTTTGCCGTGATCCGCAACCCGATCGCCAGCCGCCGCAATTTGGCGAGCTTCTGCTTAGGCACCTCAAACACACCAGCTGCCGTATTGATCGTAATGCCTAAGTGGTATACTGACTGCGACGGCTCCCACTGGCACTTGGTGGGGTGACACGACAACCCCAAGAACTCGATACTCTCACGCACCCAGCGCGCACCAAGACGCGCTTGCTCCTCAGAACTAAACACGAAGAGGAAGTCATCCAAATACGGCAGCACTCGCGCACCCGGACGAGAAGGACGCCCTGTCCGGGAAACGGGAAAAAACTGGTGGGGCGGGAGCGGGGGCGAGAGACGCTTGCGACCTTTACCCGACGCAGCCAAAGGATCCCGCCAAAAACGCACCACATTGCGCATGATTTTTGTAAACCAATACGGGCTATTTAGCCACCCCATAGGCAGGGCGTTCATCTCGTACAGAACACCACAAAAACGAAAAGTGAAGAAACGCCGATCCGCTGGGCGAATAGGGATGTGGTAAAAGGCGTCCGCCAAATCAACCTTCACCATCCAGGAGCCCTCGAGGCCCATACGCCGCAGGGTGCGGAGGGTTTCATACCTGCACTTGTAAGCTTTCTGCGCTACGTTCATCCTCTTCAGGTTAACGACCAAACGCCAAGAACCACTGTCCGGTTTCGGGACACAAAAAGCGTTCACCACATGATCAACCGCACGGGAGGGGTCTACCCGCGAGATGGCCCCGAGAGCCACCAGGCGAGGCTCCTCCTTCTCCAACCACCAACGGCTCTGCTCGTCTCTGGCAGGAAAACTTGGCAGGTCAAAAGCAGGCGGCGGGCGGTTACCTCGAAACTCCACCGGGACACCATGCTTCAAGACGTGCAATGTGCGCGCATCTGCTCCAATTGCCTTCCAAGCGGCCAGCCGCGCCGAGGCCCTAGCATGCAGGGGCACGGAGGTGGTGGACATATCGGACTACTCGTGCTGCCCCAGAAACTCCACGCCTGGGGTTGTAGAGCCCGTCGCCACGCGGAAGGGATGGGACGAAGCGCACACATAGCCACCACCGGTGTGGGCGGACGTCGATTTCCTGATCCGCTGAAGAGCAAACCTTCAGCGTCGCGCCCAAACCTCGGGGATGAGCTTGATAAAATACGTCGTCAAGAGGACATTTAGTGTTGTAGCTGCAGGGGCAAGCTTGTTGGGTCCGGGGTGGGCGGGAGTTGTTGACCTGCTCCGGAGAAAGCAGGGGGCATAAACTGCGTCGCAGAAGCCCTCGAGGAAATGCCAGTCTGTGACATTCCAGTTAGCTATGTAGGATAGCTGTGAGTTGCCTCCACCAGCGGAGTCATGCCTAGCGATACAGGGACATGCGCCGCCACTAGCACTACTAAAGGTGCTTCAATAAGGTGGGCTAACTCTATGGTGCTAGTGCTTTATATTCTCCACTGCACTCTACCCGATGGGTCTCGCTGACGAGCCGATGGCACAGCGGTGTAGTAACAGAAAGCGCGCCGAAGGCGCGGGACCTGTTTTGTTGATCAGCGCGCGCTGAACAACAAAAACAAGATAAGCTAACCAGCTTAATGCGCGCAATAAATGACGGCCCTGAGGACACGGGCCGTTGCGAAACAGTTAGTCTTAACAGTTACGCATTGGGCCTTACGCCCAACTAACCCAGCTTACTTACGCAAGCTCGCATTAGTCTGACAGCTCCCACAATTTGCCATTATATGCAAAAACAAGCCTTTCACACTTTGAGACATTTGGTCGCATCCCAAAAGGCTTCATGTAGTAGCTGGCTGCTGTAAAGGCCTCGCGAGATGCTGGTGAACCGCTTAGCGCGTATATGTAGTTGTTCAAAGTACCGTACTGCGTACCAGCTACTACACTTTGCAAAACAAGTCCACAAGATGTAGCAACTCAGACATGTTGTTTAGCCTGGATGGCAGGCAGTATTGATTTCTAGATCGATGTCGTGACCTGACTGGGTGAGAGGGGTGACAGATGTGCACATAGGGCCTAGACGGGTTAGTTTTGCTGTAACTAATGTTTACCTTGCGATCAAGACAGCCATTCTGATCACCACTCACTTAGCCTGCCTGACCGTTTACCAACTGACCACATACCCAACTGACCGGTTATGCAACTGACAAACAAGTCGATACTTTCCCAGCAAACATTTAAATTAATGTGGAGTGTCAATGAATTACGCATTAACTTATTCACAATTGCTTAAGACAGCTGGAAGTGTCGGTGGGCACAATAGCTGCGTATACGCCTGTATTACGCCTCATTAACGCCTCAATAAACACACGTTAAAAAGTTAGCACCTTATGCCTTCTCACAATGGGAAAGGTAAACGCAACTAAAAGGCAAAACAATTACGTCGCAATCCGGGAAAAATGGCGCTAACCTCGCAATCGCTTACATAAAAGTTCGTGCCAATCCATGACCATCCTGTACAGCCAGTAAAGGTTTTTTTATCATAACATCATTATCTAACTGATACCAACTGAAAGGGAACTGAGTTCCACTCCAATAGCGTTACAGGGTGTTTCCACTTGGCCGAACACTTGGCCGAACACTAACACTAAGTTTGAATGTTCTTCGTCCTGGACTCGTCTCTCACCGTTCTAAATGCATATATTGATACTACTAATGATAGTAGAAAATATTCATCAAACAAATTGGAGGTTGGGGCACTCCTGGCGGAGAACCGTAAGGCCTAGTGGAAACACCCCGTACACTAAGTCCACACTAGCGCACACTAAAGTTAATTGGACCTCAGACCTACCATTAACTTTAGTACCTAGCACTAACTATTTGGCGGGCAACTTTTATGAGCTGGATTGTCCCTTCTGACCATAGACTTTAGACGTAAGCAGCTATCTTTTTTCCTTCCTGCAAACGCCGCGTTGACTTGCGCACGCCCAACACCGACAGCCTCAGAACACCGCCATTTTGCAATGGAGCCCTCCTTCAAAAACGTTCAGCAAACATATACCGCTAGTTTGCCTTCCTTCGCTGGCCGGACGTTGCCAATGCACCATGCGGACTTCATGGCGGACATCATGACGCAGTCTGCGCCGCAGCGGATCTTAAATACGCGAATTCTTACAGACCTTGAGAATTAACAGCAATTAATCCCTGGCGCTAAAACGTTCAAAATACGAAAACAATTCTGGTTTCGGCGCTCCTTAGTGCCGCTAGTGGAAACACCGTCACACTAAGTCCACACTAGCACATAGTGTACCGAAGATAGTGTTCGGACAAGTGGAAACACCCTGTTAACCGTTATACGACTGCGACTGGCAACTTAAACCAGTTCGCAAACCACAATTGAGCGGTTTGTAAAATTAAACTGACCTTATCAAGGAAGACGTCTTTCAAAGCATTAGCTCCGAAATAGCACGCATCAGCCGTACCATCGCGATACTGCTTGCAAAACCGTGCGTTTAAGATCACACTACTACCAACAGAGAAACCTTACATTGCCATTCGAAATGAAAGAAAAGTTAGGATGCCCTTCGGTAATTCGGTAACTCTGTAAGCTGGGAGTTTCGAAATCCACATCAAGCATTTAAGACCTATCGAAAAAGGTTTGAAAATATTCATTTCTCTGTATTCATTCAAATATAGTACCCTGGCCCGTGCACCTGACCTTGGCCAGCCAACTGCTCGCTAGATTCATTTTGAGTTCACGTGTCGGCCCCTCCACCGCTTCACCGTACATGCGGCTTTGCTTGAAATCAGATCATAGGTTAAATTGTATCCGGATGATTGGGTAGCACATATGTGCTTCCTTGGCATTGACGATCTTCCGAGGCTAGGGAAAATCGTTACGGACGCTATTCAGCCTGGGGGGCGGGCTACTCGGCTCGCCTAACAGGCGAGCTGCTGCGCTTTAGGTCAAGATGTTTGCTAGAAAAATGTAAGTCTACCTCGGCGCTTAATCAATTCGTTTTAGAGCGCAGCGAGTGTGCGAGAAAGGGACGGAACCACGGTCTTCTGCAGATAAGCATACTAAATAATCCTTACGTTCTTTTACCTTTGTTACAGGCTTGCAAACGTCTGGCGAATATTGGTGGTTGCGGCCGTTTTTGCGTTCCTTGCGCCAGCTTTTGGTTCCCCAACAGCGGAGCTCCTACGTGGACAGAATGGTGAGTAGGGAAGATCTGGTAGAGTTTGATCTCTGGCATTTCTTAAACTTGCTGAGACCGCGCGTATAGCCAAGAGCTCTCTGTTTTCTTGCGCTCTCTTTTCCTTCTGCTTGTTTCCGAAGTGCACATGGCTGGGGAAGGTAAAATCCCTCGCCTCGTGGTTCTCGACGATAGCCAGCGACGGGCAAGAGCCGCCGTGCCCAATGTACCAAGGCGGCCACGTTTTGCACCTAGCAAATCGAGATCAAGCATGGGGCTGCTCAGGGGGCGTTCGTTGTATGTTGAGTTTCGGTCAAAAGCAAGACAATGTAAAGTCACGGGTATGATGCCGGGGTCTTCCCCCTGCGTGAAAATGGGCGAGCCGGGGCAGGTTGGTAGGCTACGTAAACCCCAAAATCTGCATGCACACATGCTATGCAAAAAAGTAGGACGGAAGGACGCGTAGTTCAAAAAATAATGTCAAAAATGTATGCTGTTGAATATACGTGTACAGGGATCAATACATTTCAAACGGTTTCAGCAAGCAGCTCGGCCAGTCGCAATATCGTGGTTAGTCCTGGGCCGAATATTTAAGGGTTACCAGCGCTCACTCGACAGTGCGGTGGTTCCTTACCTTTAAGGGGGTTCTGTCCGAGAAGCTCAGTCCTCAGCGCCAACCCGCGTGGCTGCTGAGTACCCGGCACCTAATCAATTTTTCTCCTCCATCTGCCCCTCTAACCACAAAGCATTGTAGCTGATACTAAGTGATAAATGCAAAACGTGTGCAAGCCTGGCCGGCCCCCCTGCTGACGTTCCCCCCTACCACCTGCGTGCTGCGCCTCCTGCCCACTTGCTCGGCTCCCACGCCCCTCTCTATACATGGCGATAATCGTGGTGATGATGGTGCTGGTGGTATGCTGCATGGATCTCGGGCTGCGGAACATCGCGTAGTTGGCCGGACTCAAACCCTGCAGCAGTTCGGCCCAGCGGAGACCTCGCAGGTTGCCCAACCTGATTCTCAGCACCACTTGCCAGATACGTCCACGACTAGGCCGCCGCGCACCGCAAGCACCCAATCAGACGTCAGCACTCGACTGAAAGGCGCCGCGAATAAGCTGGGGCTGAACTTCCTGGTTTCGTTTGCGGAGGTATGTCCTCGCCGTGCATGCTGCGTTCCCATGTGTGTGCGGGCGTGTTCGTGTGTGGTGTCTGTTTTGCTTGTAGAAGCAAATCTGGAGCTGGGAACGGGAGTTTGCTCTGTCTGTCTGCCCCTGTGACTTAAGGCTGGACTTCCTCTCATGCGATGCCTACCAGCTCTGATCGCCGCATCCGATGGTCACACCCTCTGTTTTACCTTCCGGTGCCATCCCAACCCGCCGCTCCTAGTCGGTAATGCCAGCCTTGGCAGACGTTTTCGAGGATGCGCCCGTCGCTGCCGAGTACATTGCTCGGCTGTTGAGTAGGGGATTGGACCCTAACCTAGCAGGTAAGATGCTGAGCTTGAATAATTGGATATAAACTGGTAACAGGGATTAGGTGTTCGTAATGAAAAAAAGGATGTGGTGTGTAAGAGGTATGGGGTGTCCGTGGTGGTGTACAGCCTAGCTTGCTCTCCGAGGGTCTGCGAGCGAGTGTACGAGTGTGTTGTACAGTGTGTTGTACTGATTTGAGCCGCGGTTTGGGAAATGCCGACGGGGCTGCGGAGAACGGGATGTGCGTGTGTCTACTTTTTTTTGCATTACATGCTTCGCATGTGCCATAAAGAATTTTAAAATGATTGCCTGGAAGTATGTTTGGGTGCCGGGGTGGCTGGGGTGTAAGTATATCCATGCAAATCAAGGAGGTATCAACATACCGTTATGTTGAAGTCCAAAGCTGCGAGCAGCTGCTAACGGAGGTCAAAGCGATGAAGAGACACAGCTGCCCGAACTTCACCGATATTTTTTGGCCCTCGTGTCATCTAGGGGTTGGAGTCCCCCTCAGCGCGTTGACGTCCAGCGTTATACCAAAGGGTGTTGCTACCAAACACGTGTTGTACAACTAGTAGCAGTAGCCTCGCACAGCGAAATTGTGTAAGCCAATCGGATCCTAGCGGGGCCCGGAAGCGCGTGTTGTCAGGGCATGCCAAGGTCGCCGGATGTCAAGAGCACTACCCCTGTATTTGACCATCATTCCCAACCACCACCGCCGCCGCCGCTGCCGCTACGACAGCGACCAAGTTGAACTCCACCTCCCGTTTCCACCACAACAGCATACTGGTAAAGCTCTCTGCTATACCGCTTCCCTAACCCTCCGAACACGCATACAATCGCGCGGTTGTTGTCCCTTTCGTCGCCTTTCGACGAGCCCGTGAGTACGCGGGAGCCAAGTTTTGAATGATCTTTTGTACCCGTTCCGCATGACGACACGCACTGTACGACATAGATCCTGAGGGCCCCGTGGCGGAGTCTCTGTACGACATCCTGCAAACTATGTTTGACAAGATTGCAACTACGCGCACGGGCAACATTGCGATGGAGCGTATGATGTTTCAGCTTGACTTCAATATTACGTAAGTTGTACGGCATGGTGCATGGCGCTTCGCCTCATCACATCTCCCGGCATTTTATGTGTGTGTATGTATACATGTATGTATGTATGTATGCATGTATGTATGCATGTATGTATGTATGCATGTATGCATGTATGTATGTATGTATGTATGTATGTATGTGGCCCATGGGACCACCCGGTCCGTGTTGCTTGCTGCCCGGCAATGTGCGTTAGTTGAGGTCAACGGGGTTGGCATTCCATCCCACCCACACGCTTTTATTCACTCTCGCCTGCATGACTTTTATAAATCATTTCCTCTGCCCAGATTGCGTGATATGTGATGTGCCCCGCGCGAAGGGGCCCCACGGCCGACCGGCTTTGATTGGGGTGTCTTTCCCGACCTCCTAGCACCGAGCTGCTCTGCCTTGCATGGCTCCCTTTTGCAATTTCACACGCACCCATGCGTGAAAGTGGACTGAAGCATTGCACCCGTGCATTCACACACGTATGCGAGCATGTGCGTTTATCGCGTGCGTTTGCGCAAATGGAGGGTAGGGAGTCCTGGATGAATGATTCAAATGATGGATGACCGCCTGGCCCCCCATCGCACGGCTGACCGCAGAAATCTCGCAGCCGCCAGGGACTTCCGCGAAATGCTGCACATCTTGAAGAAGTCCGACTGGTCGTATTACCCCTGGTGGCATACCGGTACTGTTACCGGTGCAAACAATATCGTGTATGTCGCCGCGACCACCGTGCAGGCGCTCGTGGCCGAGTCCTGTAAGTACACACACCACCATCACATTTCCCCTGTCGCTACTATAATAAGAATGCACAGCTATAGGCACCAGCTTCCAGCTATACATATATCTCCCTGCTTAATGCCACCGACGCATTTAACAACTTGTAACATGTGGCACGTACCGCGAGACTCAGTAGAGTATTAAGTCTTGTGCTGTACAGGAGGGGGGGCTGTACGGCACCTCACGCCCGTACCCCCTTGGTTGGTTTGGTCTTTTGGGGTGAGGGGATGAAGGTAACGCATACGCTGCCTCTATTAGCTGTTGACTGACTTGCAAATGCGCATACGCCCGTTGAGGAAGCGCGTCAGAGGTGGGTGGGTGGGGTCCGCGAATATGCGTGCGACACAGGAGGCGCAGACGACGAGTAAGCATGATGGAAGCGCCGTCATGGCACCTGTTAGTTGGAAAACACGTTGCATGCGCCCACGGGGGACCCAACTGACAACTTGGTGGTCTCGAAGGTGCCACCCGGGGTCCTTGTGTACCAACATCACCCACTCTAGGGAAAATTATGTTTTCAACAACTTTCCGTTTTCTGTGACTAAAGTGGCGTACAACAGTGAACAATGTGCCGTACAACAGTCCTCACCCACCCACCCCACCAACCGCCGCCACCCCCCCGTTCAGTGGGACTCCATTATTGGAGTTATTCTACAGTCCTGACGCCGTACACCGTAGCTGCTGATTCGGCGGACTTTCTTCTGGCGGTGGCAGAGAGTACGTTGTCGCATGCAGACACCTTGCGCACGAGTGCGGATGCTTCTTTGCTGATGACTGTCGAGGAGTACGACGCCTTTTCACGACTACGAGCAAGGTGAGTACGGCAGAAGGCCGGGGGTGGGGGATGGCGGAACATGGAGGGGTCTTGTGGGTTGAGTGAGGTCTGATGTGCTAAGACATGTGATTGGCAATATGGGTGTATGAGGAGGTTGAGGAAGACGACGCTAGCTAGTTCTTACTGCATACTTATTCCCCTCGCTCTCCTTCCTGGCTCTCGTTCCCCATCCCTTTCCACCCCTCAATCCGCGGCGCGGGGACCTCGTGATGCGCCGACCGGTCGCTCTTTGATCTTCCGTGGAATGCCGTACACTATCGGTGCTTGGTCTGTAACGCTTCATCGTACAGCGCTGCCGAGCTGCAGCGCTCGTTGGAAGGCATTACAGGTGAGCGGGTGGTTCACCCCACTTGGGGGGTCACCATCGTCCAGTTGCGGTGTATCCGGTGCGGGTCCCAACTTGAGCCCCTAGCAGCCACAGCAGCGCTGTTGCCGCGCGCGGGGACCCCCCAGGAGGTGTTCATGCCATATCTGCGCATTGTGCAGGTATTCTACGTGGACTCAGTGTTCGGGATCCTGACTTTCCGCGTATCTCGTACAGATGCACCCAATAATCTGTGTGCCCCCGAAGTGGTCCAAGCAAATGTTCACTTGTTTCCAACCTTGGAGGGGAATAGTCGCCTTTAACTCATTCACTTGTGCCATTTGAACCTATTTCTTGCAGCTGAGCTGGACGGTCGAGAGTCGAAGGCACGGGCCATGGTCAAGCCCCCACCCCCAAGCCCGCCGCCGTGGTGGTGGCAATATAACCAGCCAAGCCCGCCGCCATGGTGGTCTAATTATCCCTCCAATCCTCCGCAAACACCACCACAACCACCGTCACCACCCAGTATACGTGCAGACAAGGTGGCAGTGCGGATATTGAATTCCCTTGGGTTGCAGTACCTGTTGAGATTTGCGGAGGTGCGTGGGCGAGTGGGGTGGATGGGGTGGGAGGTAAGGTTTAGGTGGGGTAATGGATGAATTTGATCCTCTACGTAGGGCTTGGCTGCTAGGGCTGCTAGGACTGGGCTGGGCTGCCAGGGCTGCTTGGGCTGCTATTGCTGGGCTGGGCCACATGGCAGCACACGACGGTAAACGGTGGACGGCAGTGGTGGGTGGGGCAGATGACTCCCCCCCGATGTCTTCAAGCGAATTCTCATTGTTTGGTTGTGAATTGCCTGCAGGACACATACGTGGTGGCCTTGGATATCGCCTATTATGTGCCCAATGCCGCCAAGTACATATATCGGCTGGTGGACGTGGGTCCGGGCTCCCTCCTAGGTGCGTGGGGACCCCGTGTTTGGGGGGGGGGGCGGGGAGGCCTGCGTGAGGTTCAGGATTGTTGTTATCGACGCTGCTGCGGCTGTTGCTGCTGCTGCTGCTGTTGCTGCTGCTGCTGCTGCTGCTGTTGCGACGAATCTTATGATCCCCTTTTTTGCATTGCCCCCCGAAACCCCCACCCAAACATCTGTGCAGATGTTGATGGAGGGGTTGCCTATGCGCTGCACAGGATCGTCCAGACGTCCGTCAACAGCTGGACCAACAGTACCACGGGATCCATTATCGCAGACTTCCTCCTGCAGTCTCACAATGTGGACCTGTAGTGAGTACGATACATCATGTCCTGGCTTTAGCGCAACTAATGCCGTGTGTGTGTGTGTTCTTGTGTCGGATTTGAAATGTGTGTTGGCGCTTCACATTTTTTGCACTCATGTGTATTTATGACACGTGGTTGGGAGACATGTGGGACATGTGTCCTAGGTTGTATCGTAGGGCGGCTGGGGGAGTGGGTGTGGTGAATAGTGGGTGCCGGCTTATATATGGTCTCCTTATATATGGGACTCCTCTAGATGAGTTGTAGCTGTCACCCACTGCCGCCCTACATCGTAACATTCTGCCCCGTTATCGTTCCTTACATGGCTGCCTGCCCCCCTGCCCCCCTGCCCTCCTGCCCTCCTTCACTCCTGCCCTCCTTCACTCCTTCACTCCTTCCCTTCTGCCCTCCTTCACTCCTTCACGCCTTCCCTTCTGCCCTCCTTCACGCCTCCACTCCTTCCCCCAAAACACCCTTTCCTGGGACTCGCAGTGCGTTGGGCGCTGCCAGCGACCTACTCGAGGTTGTGGACATCATGAAGCGCTCGTTCTGGAATCCGTACCACAACGAAGCTGACTACGGCCCCACCGACGTCGTCAACACAGTCGCCGGCATCATTCGTACATTGGTGATGGAGGCCAGTGAGTGTAGCCTTCAGGGGTTTGGGGGAGGACTTGTTGGCTGGTGGGCTCCCAGGTGGCCTGTCCTTAGGGCTGTGGCATAATATCAGCGGTGTTGGCCGTACTTGCTTTGTCGTACTTGTCGTACCTTTCCAGCCGTTTCGCGCCCGGAGACCTAAAACCTAATCTCGATATATGTACAACCCGACATCCGGTGACCATCCCCGCCCTTGAACTGCCCCCTGCCGGTCTCTCCGCTCGTCGTACTGCAGCCACACCGAACGGCCGCGTCGGGCCCATAGAGATAGCCCTGGACGCCGTGGACTTTGCGAAGGCGTTTGTCGGCAGCGTTGTTGACAATGCTTACACCCTGCGATATAGTGCAGATGGTTCACTTCGCATGACAGACGACGAGTACGAAGCTTTCTACATGATTCGGACCAGGTTCGTGCGAGGGGGTGAGCACCCGTACTGCTTGCCGCGTGCGTGTCTACAGATCGGTAGGCCTCGCAGGCTTCTGGCTTAAACAGCGCACAGCGGTGGTAGCCTATCTAGGAAATGGTTCAGAAACCCCAAGCGGCCCCCAGGACGTTGCCCGGCTGGAGGGTGCCTTTGCCTTGATTTAAATTTTATATCGTTACGATACAAAAGCCAAGCCAACCCAACTTCCTAGTGCGCACCGGAGGCCATGAGGTCTGATATGCTTGCTTGCTTGCATCCCTATCGTTCTGGTTCTCGGTTCCCCAGCTGCATATTTCCTTCCTTTACGTACAGATGAACTTCATAGGTAGCTAGATGTGTTTTGAGCCGATGTATGCATCTATGTACGTGCAAACATGTATACATGAGAATATGAAATTGGAGTCGATCCCATCCTCTGCCCTTGTTCTCCCCCCCCCCCGCTTCCGGTCCACCATTTCACTCCCTTCTGCCGTTGTTCGTGCCCTCTGCACATTTTTATATTTGGCGCAGTCTTGATGATCTCCGAGGTGCACTTGGCCGTTTAAGAGGTGAGGTGGGGGATGTTGCGGATCATGCATCTGGTCTTTTCCTTAGTAAGCAGCCAAGATGGTCGGAGGCCCTGGCCCCTGGCTATTATGTAGTCACACTCGTTATGTAATATATGCACCTACATGAAAATTATACATGGGCATTCCCAACACGGCTGTTTACTGGGGGTGCTCCGAAACCGGAATTACCTGTCCAATCCAAGCCTTCCAGACTCCTCCTCTCTTCTTTGTTGCTACTGCCTCTACTGCTAGCTTTTTGTCCTCCATCACTTGCCCTTCTCTTTACTCGTACTGTCCTTTGCGACATCACTTCCTAAGCTCCCTTCGGAATTGACTTCCTGTGTTTTGGGGCCCGTTCAGTCTGCCCTTCATACTTCGGTGTTAGGAGGCGCTCCACTCCCCCTAGGCGCTGCACTATGACCTCCTTGCCATGTGTGCCACATGACAAGCGGCCTTAGCTCCTTTGCTGGCGCGATGCCCCCCCCGCTGTGACCCTCTGTCCGTTTCCTTGGCCATTGGCAGACGGCATCACTAACGGTGGCGGTGGCGCTGACAATGGCGAGTACGACTACGGCTATCGGAGGCCAAGGTCATCACCGTCGCCGCCGCCGCCCTGGTGGTCGGGGTACGATACCGTGCCGCCGCCGCCATCCGGCTCATCCAGGCCGCCGTGGCCGCCGCAGCCGCTGCGGCCGCCGTGGGGGTGGTCTGACTATAGAAGCTCGCCGCCGCCGCCATCTGGCCCATCATGGCCGCCGTGGCCGTGGTGGTCTGAGTACGATACCGTGTCGCCGCCATCAGAATCGCCGCAGCCGCCATGGAGGTGGTCTGACTACAGAAGCTCGCCGCCGCCGCCGTGGTGGTACAGCAGCCCGCCGCCGCCATCTGGCCCATCATGGCCGCCGTGGCGGCCGCAGCAGCCATCCGGCCCATCATGGCCGCAGTGGCCGCCGCAGCAGCCATCCGGCTCATCCGCGTCGCCGCCGCCGTGGTGGTGGCAATATTACAGCAGCCCGCCGCCGCCATCCGGCTCATCTGCGTCGCCGCCGCCGTGGTGGTGGCAATATTACAGCAGCCCGCCGCCGCCATCCGGCTCATCCGCGTCGCCGCCGCCGTGGTGGTGGCAATATTACAGCAGCCCGCCGCCGCCATCCGGCTCATCTGCGTCGCCGCCGCCGTGGTGGTGGCAATATTACAGCAGCCCGCCGCCGCCATCCGGCTCATCTGCGTCGCCGCCGCCGTGGTGGTGGCAATATTACAGCAGCCCGCCGCCGCCATCCGGCTCATCTGCGTCGCCGCCGCCGTGGTGGTGGTACAGCAGCCCGCCGCCGCCACTTGCTTCCCCCGGGGGCACTGAGGGGCCGCTAGCTGCACTTGAAAGACTTGTGCGCACCCTCACCTACAACGCGAACAAGATGGGGCTCCATTTCCTTTTGCGTTTCGTCGAGGTAAACCAGATGACATTCTTTGTTGGGAACTGTTTATTGGGCCGTCACTCCGTTGAAGGGGTAGCGGGTCCCTTCCGTCGTGCAGGCAGGACCGCTATCTGCTCTTCCCTCTCTCCACTCTCCCTCCCTTTCTCTACGCGTACTGCATATATGCCGTACCTACATGCGCCGTACCGCAAAGAAAACACCGCTACTCCGAAATCTCCATTCTGCCATTTTACCAACATTTTGTGTTTTTTTATATAACTCGGACCCTCCAAACATGACATGCGCGCTGGAGATGATAGCGGCTTTCCCGAACTGGCTTGGGAGGTTCCTGAGGTACATGCATATTTAAATACCTAAAAGAATACAGCCGGCTTGGTATTACAATGTTAGCTGGTGCTGGCGAGCATTGCGATGTTTTCTCAACATGTTTGACCCCCAGAGTGACACCAGAGGGCACCTGACAGCCCGTCCCTTTCCACAGCCGCCCTCTCCCCTCCCCAGTCCCCACCCACACCTACACCCTGTCACCACCACACGCATGGAGGCGTAACATGCCTAATAATGTAACATTCAGGTTTTGTTGCCCTGACTGAATTTTTTGCTCAACTTCTTGTGATTGAGACGGTTGTTGACGGTTGCTGCGACAGTAGGCCCTCTTGTCCCCTCCCTTGACCCCTCTGGGCGTCCTGACGTACTGACAGACTCGCGTCCAAGACTCCGCCGTAATATTTGCATTATTTTTTTGTCAAAAAATCTACTTGCAATTACTACTTTTAGCTTGAGCACATTGGGAACTTTTTTATCTCTGTCCGGTGTCGGTTGCTGGAGAAGCCCTTCTTCCGACCCACGAGCCTGCTAGTGCGCGTTGCCGTGTGTGTGTGTATTGCGGCGGCCCTAACTCTTCCCCCCTGGCCCCCTTCCTCAGACTGCTTACCCGCCAGCTGCCGAGATCGGGAAGGATCTCCCGACAGCCGCCTGGTACGTCTACAAACTGCTGCAACAGGGGCTGGGTCCCTTCCTGTCCGGTGAGTGAGGGCGTGTGTGAGGGCGTGTGTGAGGGCGTGTGTGAGGGCGTGTGTGAGGGCGTGTGTGAGGGCGTGTGTGAGGGCGTGTGTGAGGGCGTGTGTGAGGGCGCCCCGAAACCATTTTCCGGGCCTAGCACCGCTGCAACGCTTCGCCTCACCCTTGCGGTGTTACTCCCCCCTTCTCTTGGTTCATGTCCTCGCCTTCGCGGCCTTCCGTCAACCCCCCCTCCCTCCCCGGGGGGGAGGTCCCACACCGCCACTGCCTGGCTCAACATGCCGCCCACACCACCCACCTACGCACACGCCCTGATCGCAGACCCCAGCAGCCAGGCGGCCTACTCACTGTACCGCATCCTCCAGGCAGCATTCGCCAACTTGGCCTCGACTCCCAGCGGCAGCATCATCGCCGACGTTGCGCTACGGAACCACGATATCGATCTTGTGTAAGTGTTCTACTAAGCCGCCAACCGCTAACAGCTAATCGATCGCTAAACTACAGAGGACTGATAGAAGAGCGTGGTTGCGTCTTTTCATGTAAGGATAGCTGGCGGGGTGGAAAGGTGCCCTCTAATGTCCGGTGCTTCCACCCGCAAACACTTGAGTCCTCGGGACACAGGCTTTTAAACGTTACCAGCATGCTATGCAGGTCACTCCCTTGCATGCCGTACATCCGCGCGCATGCCGTACATCCGCGCGCATGTCTTCCCACGTTGCGCACGGTGTGGGCACTTACAATACGCACACACATATATAGACATACACGTACATGCACACATACACACACGCATCGCCCCCACCTCCCACTTGCTCATAGGGCCCTGGCGAGCGCTCGCGACTTCTCCGACCTTATCTCCTCCTTCAAGTCCGCATCATGGGGCTCCGACGGCAGCTGGGAGGTGGAAGGCATTGCGCTTGTCGCACAGTCGATTACGGATTCTGTCCAGGAACTCTTGTGGAACGCCGGTGAGCGGTATTGGAGCCTGCATATATCCATGTATGTATATCTGTGTGTGCGTTACACCTTCAGGATCTGCGTTACTCCCCACTGGAGTAACCCGGGGCCCATACACACATGGAGTCCGGAGGGGCATACAATGGAGGGGCATACATATGTGTTTTTCCGGCCTTCTCCCCTCTTCTATGCGCCGTACATTGTCGTCTATCATACACATGTTGTTCCATGCTTCACCGTGTGCGCTGTGCTGCGCCGTGTCGTACTTTGTCGTGCTCCGCTGCCCCGCCCTCCCAACTTAGTGTCGCCATACGGCCGCATGGGCCCCGTTCAGCTGGCCCGTGACGTGGTCAGCTTCGTCCGGGCGGTGGTAGGCGCTACCTTGGACAACGCGGATGAGCTCCGGAACAACGCCGATGCCCAGATGTTCATGTCGAACATGGAATACGACGCGTTCCTCCGCCTGCAGCATAAGTAAGAGAGGCGAATGTGCGGGGCGCGAAAGTGTAGTATAGCCATGTTTTTTGGTGGCGTGAGATGATGTTTCTTGCGCCTTGTTATGGTTATCGAAGATGAAATCAAGCAGTCGTTCCAGCACACTGTTTTAGTGTTGTATGCACGTACGCCTACGCGCCTATGATGTTCACCTAGGGCATGCGGCAGTTGTGCGGGACGTGGGGTGCGGGTGCAGGCCCCCTCCGCTTCTGTGCTGAATGTGTGCGACTCTTTTACGACTCTTCTTACGATTTTTTACATCTCTTTCTGCATTTCTTCCGTACCCCCTTGGCCATGGCAGCTTGGATGAGCTGAACCAGAATTTGTCGTACCTTGCAGGTAAGCCATCTGTGCACGTGTGCTGCGCAATGTACGGTGTTATTCGTACGATGCGCACCATAAATGACACTCATGAAGAAACCAACTCTTGAAACTAGCACGGACATTGAGCACTGCTACTTGTACGGCGTACGGCGCTGCTTTCCTTCTTTCCCTTTCACCACCTTCCCCGTCCCGTCTTCCCTTTTCATGAATCGCCACAACCTCCACCTCACCTCACCTCACCTCACCTCACCTCACCTCACCTCACCTCACCTCACCTCACCTCACCTCACCTCACCTCACCTCACCTCACCTCACCTCACCTCACCTCACCTCACCTCACCTCACCTCACCTCACCTCACCTCACCTCACCTCACCTCACCTCACCTCACCTCACCTCACCTCACCTCACCCCTCTACAACTTCTTCTCAGGGCTACCCACGTGCCCTGACTGACCCGTCCGCCTCTCGCATCAACTACCCAACCGCACACAGCCATGTCTTCACGTGCCTAACGACACGCACGCCTAGCAAATGCTGCAAAATACCTTTTCCCCTACAAATCTACAAACGACCTATCAACCCCCTTCCCTTCCCCTGGGGGTACTTGATGGTCGCCACCGTAATGGTCCCCACCAGAGGAACTCAACGGCATCGTCGGCGACTACGGTACTGCGGAGCACGTACGACACCCTCCTACCATACGACACCCTCCACGTCGCCTTTCACCGCCTGCGGAGAGCTCGGGGGATGTCGCCGACTTGGGGGGCATAATTCTGAGAGCAGCCAACAACCTGGGACTCGACTTTCTGGTCGCCTTCGGGCAGGTGGGATTTCTTGTCTATTGGTTTCGGTCCGCCTGGCTACCACTTGCACTGCGGTTCCTTGACATCTGCAACAAGCCGCAGAAGCCTTCCTCTTGCAACATCTCGGTACCTAAAACCCCGAAGGACATTCTATTCCCCGCTTGCCGCAGCCAAGCAGCAAGCCCCTCGGTGACATTCGCCATCGTTGTCCTTCCATTCCTCTTTCTTTCCGACTCCTTCTCTTCACCTTCGTTGTTACCGTTACGTTATTGCTCAGACAAGGGCACGTAGAGCTAAGGACGCAAAAACACACCGGTTCCGCCTGAACCATTCCCTCCCCCTCCTCACACTCCCCCCCTCCACCACACCTGTGTCCCTCATGTCCCAGTCGGCCTACCCGGCAGTCAACAATGCGCTGCTGCAGGCGCCCTTGGTTGCGCAGTACATTCGCAGATTGCTGCGCCACGGGCTGGACCCATCTTTCACGGGTGCGTGCGTGAAGTAGTGCGTGAGTGCCACAACATCACCTCACCCCTCACCTCACCCCTCACCTCACCCCTCACCTCACCTCACCCCTCACCTCACCCCTCACCTCACACCCCTCACCTCACACCTCGGGCCCCTCTGCGACGGCCCCCTCAGACCCCTCAGGCCCAACCGCCGAAGCCGTATTCAACATCCTGCACCCAACCTTCTCCCGCCTGCTGGAGACCGATACGGGCAGCATCGTTGCGGACTACCTGGTGGGCCACGAGCTCGACCTGCAGTAAGTCATGACAGCGAACCCACCAGTGGCGGTTGGGGTTCGTTGTTTGAGAGTTCGTTTTGGCTGATTTGGTTGACGTTTCGGCTGATCCACACACATATACACGTACACACATGTCACCACATGTACTGTCCTAAACATACATACACACACACTCGCACACATACTTCTACACACACATGCGCACGCGCGTACACTCAAGAGACACACCTGTCGTCTGCAGTGCGGAAGGAGCCACCAATCAGCTCCTTCCAGCGGGCCGGCCCACCATCCTCTTGGGGGTTTGAGTTCCGTTTGCCAAACCGTGTCAGCCGATTGGAATCCGTGCGTAACCTCCGCCTCCCTCTGTCATCCCCCCCCCGCCTCAGGCGGATCGCCACTGCCCGTAACTTTACAGAGCTCATCGGTGAGCTCCGCCATGCCTACTGGTGGCAGCGGGTGTACGACTTCTACTTCCGCCAGTACGACACCAGCGCGAGCCTCGCTCAGGAGGGTGCCGCGTCCATTGTGGACACCGTGACAAACATCGTACGACACATCGTACGGGATGCTGGTGAGATGCGGGGTTGGGAAGACTCGGGTTCGGGTTTGGGTTTGGTTTCTTGGGGGGATGGGGACTTTCCGGTGCAACACCTCCCCAAGCCCTTTCCTACCCTCCACCCCACCCTGGTCTTCAGCTCCAGTCCAAGCCAATATCAGCCGCCAACACCACAACCACCATAACCACAAGGGAAAATGGCTGTAACCGAGGTGATAGTTATAATCGTTATAATTGTTGTGAACGCACACACACACACCCCTACAAGTTGCAGTCAATCCCTCACCGGCCCCCTTTCTCTTCTTCAATTCACACATTGCACGTCATATCGCAGTGCATGAAGAGGGAGCATGCTGATGGTTTTGTGAATCCCCTTTCACAGGGAAAATCCGTCGCCCCGCCCATATCTCTCTCCTCTACAACCGTGCTCCAAATCATACCGCCATGTCACCAACCCCTGTACCCCCTGCTGTTTCCCTCCCTTAACGGCCCCCCCCTCCTCCAGTGCTGCCGTACGGCCGGATTTCCCCTCAAGTCCTGGCCTCCGACATCGTGGAGGTGACGCTCACGCTGACCCGAGCCACGATTCGCAACATGGCTCAGCTGCGGGGTGCCGCTGAGCATTCCCTGTACCTCAGTGACCTCGAGATGAACGCGTTCTACGCCCTGCAGTACCAGTGAGTGCTTTGGGGTTGGTTACTCGTTGTTAGTTGTATAACTAACACGTTTTATCTAGATGCGACGACAAACAGGAAGAAGTAAGAAGTAAGAAGTAGGCAGCAGTGCGCTGTTGGTGCACCTTGTGTGGTTTGTGGCTCCCGCGGGGCGACACACTCTTGTAGGCAAAGATAAATTAGTTACATTAGTTACAAGTTACAAGTTCCGCACCAGTGCGGGGGTGTCCGTAAAAGCCGGGAGGGGGGCCATGGACGGTAGATCGTTTTTAGTGCGGTTACGTGGTGGACCATATCATCGTCCTCCCTCGTCCGCTTGAGCGCGAAGCGCCTTGGAGCAACGTGCCGGGTCTCCCAGACTTCCGAGAGGAACCTGGCTAGAGCCAGGAGTGGGGCCTCGGTCATAATCGTGCGCATGTCGCGCCCTTGGAACACAAGGTCATCGTACTTAGCCCGTGTACTAGTGTACGGCGAGCATTCCACAAAGACATGCATTTCGTCTTCAACCGCCCCGCAGTCACGAAGCCTGCAGGTGCGCGCTGTGCGCTCACGGCCGTTAGGTCGGTTAATCTGTAACTACCAACAGCCTAACCGGAAACGCACAAGCATTTGATGCAAACGTTGGGGCATGGCGGTGTCAGCGTGGGCCAGCCACTTATGCCGCATGCCCCTAAGTGGGGGTGCTTCCACTTGGGAAGGTGCATGGATTACCTAGGGTATCCGGGCACTCCCACCGGCCGTCGAGACACCTAGCGAACTCTTTTAAGTATGCTTCCCACTGGCAACCTAACGGTGGCGTAATGCACTATGAAGTCGTCACCACGCAGACCGGCTGGGGGCTCAGCTCCCAAATTAAAGATGGTTTACCCGGGCCGTTCCCTCGTGTGTCCATAGTCCCAAAAGTGGCCAAGCAAGCCGCTAGTTTCTAGTCTTGAGAGGCAAGCAGCTGTTATGGATAGGGATGGGCAGGCTCCCAGATGGATGGAAGAGTGGGGTACTCCACCTACAATAAGGACGCCTGTCTATGTTATGTTATGAATAGAGGCAGGTCAAACACTCCGCCGGAGGGCCGGGAGGGCCACCAGGCCACAGGCAGCCGTGCCTCGATGATGCGGGGCTTGCACATTGCTGATCTGCGGGGTGTTGCCAACAAAGCGCACGGAAGTGCCACATTCCCCTCCTCTTACACGCACATCCCTCCTGCCCGCCCCTGCCCGCCTCAATCCTCCCGTCCCACATCCCACATCCAGCCTACATACGACACCCCCCTCCTAGCCCCCTTTCACTCCCTTCCTGACCACCACCTCTTTCCCCCCATCCGCTTGCCGCAGTTTGACAATCCTCCGAGAGTCTCTCATAAACCTGGCTGCCTCACTCAACCAATGATACCACCGACTGCTCGTCCCGTCTCCTAGTTGTGTGTGGATGTGTATGTCGTACACCCCGGGACACGTACACCCTGATGCATGGGGCGCCCAGGAGGGGCGTCATGGCGCCGCTTGCGGCCGCCAGCAGCAGCAGCAGCATCTGTAGCGCACCGTTCTAGCTTGCGAAGTAAACCCGATCAACCATGAGCCGCGCGTTCCTGTCTGTCGTTTGTCATGAAAGGTGTTGTTATGGATTGTTATACATGGTGGTGGATTGTTATACTGAAGGGCGTACTGAAGGCGGCACGCAGCCTTGTCCTTCATATTTTCTATTTTTTACATGTCCCTCTAGCTAGTGAAGGGCTGTGTCCCTGTGAGGAAGTCATCTTCAAAGGAAAAGCTCAACAGCGGGGGGGTTAGTGTTTTACATCGTAGTAGTACCATCCGGGGGTGTTGGCAGGGGGGCAGCAGGGCCAGAGGGCTCAGGGAAGAAGCGCGCATGTGCACATGCAGGGGCGGGGGTAGTGTTTTATGGACGGATACGATGCCTGGCGCCTTATCAAGACATCGGTCTTTAGAATTCTGCAGCGTTGCTTGCTGGAGACACTGTACATGTGTTCTGTGTGTTTTGTATTCTTTATGTTCCCACTGCTGGGTGCATTTGCTGGCATGCGTGATCCAATTGGTGCTGGTGCTTCCCATTCGCCTCCAATCCAGCTTATCTCGGCATTGTTTGGCAGAGTGCGTGCGTCGACTCCGTAGCGAGCTATGACACTTTATATTCGTGGCCTTCCGTACTGTATGTGAGTATGCGCCCCTATTTCCTGCGCAGCAGCCTGCCCAAGCTGTAAATTAACTTTGGGTTGAACCCCCCCTTCCTGTCAGCAGAATTAAAAATTTCACCCCCGGACGATAGCCAAGCAAAACGTTTAAGTTGGGGACGTCTGCAAGCCATCGACGTAGCCTCCACCGCCTCATCGCTTGGCGGCCGTAATGGTCGCTCCGGGGCGGCCCACCAAACTCAGTTGACGAGCTGGTCAGGACGATATGCCGACCTTTGATCCCTGTACGTTGGTTTCTTAGGTCGTTTCCAGCTAAGAACTACTGCAGGTGGGTTGGTTTGCGAGTAAACCAATTTTTTGCACGAAAAAGATAATAAGATTCTATCTGACGGATGACAGTTTCATCCCTCAGACAAGAAGCATCCGAAAACACGGGAAGATTATTGTGCTGTTCATGTGCGAGCAAAATTGTGGAGCCCGCCCAGCAGCTGGAGCCCGCCCACACACTCCCCGCCCTTCAGCCCGCCCTCTCAGAAAAATTAAAACGTCGATCCTCTCTTACGCCGCCCTTCCTTACGTCCTTCCTTAATGAGAATTGAGTAAACAAAACTTTGCACTCCTTAAGAATTCCAGGGCCACTTGACCTCTGACAGCTCTCCGCTCATATAACAAATCTACACCAACGACCATCCCCGTCTTGCGCCGTATTCCCCCCCAGCACGGGGTTTCCTGGTGATGCAGATTGGTTGTGTTCGCTCTGCATTGCCTATTGCTCCCCCCCTTCGGTGCCCGCAACTTCTAGAACTAGAGACTATCAATCCCTTCAGACACAGTTTCAGGAAAAGACACGTAAACACAGCGCTGCAAGGACATCCTCTTGCATGAACGATTGCAGCACGAGCAGAAGCACGTAAGTAGGATACGGCCCCCAAAACTGTACGAGCCTGTACGGCGCAGTAAGCTGAGCGGAACAGACGGCAAAGGGAAAATCGCCCTAAAGACTATTGTGCTCCCCTTTTTCATCACCAACGCCACCGTGCGACCGTGGGGATCCAGATGGCCTCCTGGGCCCCGCTCAGTGTCCGCGTATGTATGTCCGTCCCTCCGCCTGCTCACTGACTCCTCCCCGCCCCTCTTTCTATCTCCCCTCTCGCGCGCTCACACACACGCACGCATTACCACACACGCACTGTGTCGTGTCCCCCGGGCGATCGCCATTCCTCCGTCCATTCCTTCCGACTTCCATAAGGCGCTTTATCCATCAGGACAGGAAAAGAACCCTTCAATCCACTTCACGCAATAATAAAATATTTGTGGTAAGTTAAAAATCCCACAATCACGTAACGCTCGCTGTCTCGATCTACCTGTCTCTTCATTTGTCCGTTATCCGTCCGGGTTACGTCTAGGTGCCGGTCGGCGCTCTGCTTCAGCGGAAGCGAGCCCCCGCTGCCCTCGACCAGTATCGCTCCCTCCTTGACCAGTAACAGACATAAATAAAGGCAAACTGGGAACCAGCAGTTTGAACCGGGTCCAGTGCCGCCGCCCCCTAACCCCCCTGACACACCCGGCAATGGTGAAGCTGCAACAGCCCTTCCCTCCCTCCCTCCCCCCCTCCCTCCCTCCCTCCCTCCCTCCCTCCCTATGTCCCCCTCCTACGACATCCGACCTCCCGCCGTGCGTCCTTACAATACACATCTCTCAGACCCCACCCCACCCCACCCCACTCCACCATGATTAGTCCCCACTACACAACGACCCAGGACGGCAACGCCTGGTCCCCTTCATGCGCCGACACAAACCCGCACGTCCCACGCCTAGCTGCCGGTCCGCTGCCGCCATCGCCGCCGCCATCGCCGCCGCCACCGCCGCGCGACAGCTCCCACTGCTCATCATCCCCGGGTTTGACCGCCCGCGGCCCCGCCACCACTGCCACGTCGCCACCACCCTCGCTCCCGACCGCCGAGTAACCCGACCCCAGCCCGGACTCCTTGGCTACATCAAAAACTAGCGCATCTAGCAACGCCAGCAGCGACCCGAACCGGTAGAGCTCCAGATCCAGCGCATTCCGCTTCAGCAGCTGCTGCCACTCCTCCGCTTCCGGAAGACCCTGACGCCCTACCTCGTGGACTTGCGTGCTCGTACGAGCGTGCACGGCTCCGAAACCAAGTCCCCATCCAATGGCCATCTCGTACAGCACCTCATTCATGGAGGGCTGCTCCAGCAACAACAACACGTCAAACATGGTCATGGCCAGGCGGGCCGCGGATAGGTGCGCCTGTGTGAGGTTGTCCCCCGGAAGGAAGTACACGGACTCCCCGAGGAGCGACCGCACATAGTAGTTGTCCGTGGCGGCGGGTAGCAGGGACCGCCAGTGGGGCAGTCCGTGGGTTGGGAAGAATGCGGGAGCCTGTTCGCGGAAGGTATGGTCGTACAGCGCCCAAACCCACATCAGGTGGGACCGTAGACGGAGGTGGGGGTGCCGCAGCTGCAGCACGTTGAGGTGGCCCGGACACACGTGCGCGTTGCGAGGTACACGCTGCGCGCCGTATACCGTGAACTCATTGGCGTAGATGTTGAAGTGGCGGCGGAGCATGAAGCGCTTTCGGATCTGACAGGACACGGGGTTGCGTTGCTTGGTGCCCCAGTTGGCGAACCAGGGGGTGCGCAGACCGCGGGGTGCGAGGTGGTTGTGTAGGGAGTTGTTGACCCAGCGTGGAACGTCATCGAACTCCCGGATGAGGCAGTTGCGGCGTGCGGCAAAGGACTGCGTGCGGCAGCCGTTAAGCTTGGCGAGCTGGCAAAAGGTGGTGCCGCCGGCCTTGGAAATGTGGAAGAAATCAATAATGCCTTTACGGGCTGCGGCAGTGCGGTGAAGCTGGAAGAATTGCACGCACAGGCGCACCACGGCTGTGGAAGCATCGGTGCTGAGGGGCCCGTGTTGTAGACGGTGGTGCATGAGTGCTGCTAGGACGATGCGGCGCAAGACAGGCCAGCAGAGGTGGGTGGGCAGCTGGGCGACGCGCGCGGTCATGGCATCGATATGGGCCGGCAGCTCGTGGGTGGATAGAACCTCCAGTGCCTTGGCCGACTCCACGACCTCCCAGAAGGCATGGTACTGCAACTCCGGTACCTTGTCAAAGGTCTGGTTAAGCGTGTGGGGCGAAGCAAAGAGGTACCCGATGGTCTCCACAACTTGCGCCACGCCAACGTGCTCGATGTCCGACACGTTTTGCGTGGCGGTGTTATTGAAACTTAGTCGCCGAAGAAGAATGGCCTCGAAGTCCACTGCTGGATGGCCACTACCCGCCAGCATGGTAGTTGTCGCCGAGCTGCAGCTGGCGAAACATATGAGCACCAGGCCCGTGATCAAAAGCACCACAGAACTATTTTGTGATGCCATTGTACCAAGCAGTGCCTGATGCCTTGTTCCTTGCACACAGCTGCTGCGTAAATTACATGGTCTGACTGAGTGGCTTAACGGACGGCTTCCCACGTTTCCTAACTTACAACAACACAAGGCATCTATAACTTTACTTGTTATTCATATCCGATGCATCACTGCTTGCATAACATACAAATCTGCACAGACTCCTGCTGCTACAGACTGATCTACGTAGGTACGATAGCTCAAATAGCAAGGATACTCCAATTAAGTCGAGTTTCAGCCGCCGTGAGTTGTGTACGTTTCGTTGCTCTAAAGGGTCATCTGCAACATGTCACCGTACGAAAATGCGGACGATGAAAATTATACACGACATCTTGTAACACTGCGCCAATAACAAGAGATGTTGGATTACTACAAAACGCGGTGATGATGTGGAGCCGGAAGCCCCAAGTCCCCTGTATAACACCCTGCAAGTAAACCCTAGTATATGACTGATTTACCCAGGACAGTCATAACATTCGTCATTCGGCGTATGCAATGTGTACAGATTCACTCCGTGAAACCAGCTCCGAAACTGTCACGTTCCTGCCCGTTGTCGCCGGTTTTTAACTTTTAGGAGGCTTATGCAGCGTTCCACGCCGGCATAGGACCCTGCTAAAAATCCAAACGCTAATCTGCCTCCAAACTGCTGCCCGAACATCCTATTCAGGCCCGGGATGCCTGTCTCCACGCCACAAAACTCGTCCGACAAGACACACGTCCACACACATCCATGCATCCATACACACATTCGTACACAGGTATCGCGTCGCCAAGCCCAACTCAGCCAAGAGCAGCACATTTTGTTAGCACACCATGTATCTGAAACGATGCGCCACGACGACCACAGCACCCCGCAGGTTCAAGTCAGGGCACGCAGCGCGGGCAACGCAACAGAGACCAGATCAGTGGTTACCAAGCTTGGCGCTTACTGTGCCTTCAGAAAATGCCAGTAACAGGGAAGACCCAAAACAAATTTTAGCTAGGGGGTGTATGACTTGACAAGGTGGATAAATCACCATGACCGGCGGGGAGACGCTCACCCGCCCGCAGGCAGCGCTGGACTAGAGCAACCTACTTTATGCACACACTCAGACAAGGCAAGTGCTCATCGTCCTCTGGGTAAAAGTGTGCATTCTTCCACACCCACCCACAGCACTATTAGTAAGGTATGATGCCTTCACAAAGGCCGCGTCCCTCTTAGCAGCTTGTGGGTTAACAGTTCTCTGCGTTCTCTCTTCACAATGGCCAACTATTGGTGATGAACGCACCATCACCCGTCTCAGGGGCGTTTTGCGCTTTGTGCCCGCTAAAGCATGGGGGAAGTAGTAGATGTGGCCTGTCTCTTCGAACTGGGTGAACTGACCTCCGGAAAGAACACCTTGATGCTCCTTTCCGGAAGTCCCAGCCTCTTCCACGCCTTCCTCATCTAATACAGCCGCAATCATGGCAAGGGTATATCCCACCAGCGTTATTTTTTTGCGGAATATATTCCGAATTCGGAATAAAAAAATGTTCGTGGACCTGAAAGTTAAGAATAAATAACGTTCCGACCGTGCAAGTTCATTCCTCCAGCCAAAAATGGACTGTCCATGCCAAAGCCGCTAGAATCTCACAGGAGACATACATGTTAACCATATCATAGTACTTTAATGCCATGGATACTGCTAGGAAGCTCACGCCCGAAAGTCAACGAGGAATCGGACTGTTTCTGACCGGACCAAACGCTGCAAAACATTGACCCGAAGCTCCCAAAGCGTGTTAGGTCATTAAAGCAGATATAAAAAATCACTGAAGCCATTAGCGACGTTAATGAAGACGGTATATGTTGTAGACTTCAGACGACACAACCACATAATGGGGGCATCGAAAGATACCGATTGAGACAAGTGTCTTGAATAAGTAGTCATCAGTGACTCCACTTGGGCCTCGCGCCGATAAGGATTCCCAGTACGACTGGGCGGCGCCGTATCCAGAAGCCATAGTTCGCAGGAACTACTCTCGCTCGGTCAGACGAAACTGGGACGCAGGTCCCAGCTTTACGTAAGTAAAACCCCCGCCCATACGCAGGTATGGACTTCCGCAGTGGTGCGGCATTAAGGTGGCGGACGACTAACAGTAGTCGCTTAGCCGCCGTCGCCCATACACTTCCGCAACAGTGCGGCACTTGAATGGCGGACGACTAACAGTAGTCGTGTTATCCGCCGGCGCCTATGGACTTCCGCAACAGTGCGGCATTTGGATGGCGGACGACTAACAGTAGTCGCTTAGCCGCCGTCGCCCATGCACTTCCGCAACAGTGCGGCACTTGAATGGCGGACGACTAACAGTAGTCGTTGGATCCGCCGGCGCCCATGGACTTCCGCAACAGTGCGGCATTTAGATGGCGGACGACTAACAGTAGTCGCTTAGCCGCCGCAGCTAACAGTAGCCGCAATTAAACTAATATCAGTATTAGTTAATACCTGTAAGCACCAACCGCGGAATTGACGGGTTGTTAGTTAGTAATATTGGAGTTTGGTAAATCGGAGTGGACGAGCTAACCACTGGCAGTTAGGTTTCGGCGCCCAAACCGTTGCGGAAAACCTAAACAGGATACAACAGTATAGAGGTCGTAGGGAATGCGGGCGCAATGCTGCAGCCAGCCGACGACAATGACGCCACTCCGGTTGTCAACAGCGAGCGGGCCAAACATCAACGTTCGTCAAATGGAGACAATCGCGATGGTCCAGGAAACAGGCTGCGTTTGGTGGTTCCGGTCCATTGCTGCTATGCATCATTACTTTTGCAACCCGGAAAGTCGTGTAGTGTTATCTTTCAACATGATGCAAGACGAACGATGGTGAACGAACTCTATTCGATCAGTGTTTGAGAGATTGTGGTGTGCGCGTGTTGCGGCATTCCCCACGGCGTTTGCACGAAGTAAACTGTAACTCTTCGGG